ACGCCCAATTATCCCCTATCTCCCCAATCCCTGAATCCCCAATAATCCACAAATTCCTACTCCCTGAAAAAGGCCGGTAACGCACTTGTAAGGCCTCTGATGTTCCGGGTGTCTATGGACGACGCCGATTGCTTCCCATCTGGTGCACCGTGGAGGCTCTGGAGCAGGTCTCTTTTAGAGGACCCGGTGCCTCCATTCAGGTGTCGAGGGTGGCCACCGGGGTGGTTTTAGTGAGGTAAAAATCCCACACTCCCTAGTCTTTTATCCTTAAAAAGGCAAGGCGCATTTTGAAGGTTTCCCCCGTCATAAAAAAGGCCTTTGTACCTTCTGCTTCGACTCAAATTTTCCAGTATTGACAAACAACTTAAGATTTTCGTATTATTTTGTATTGAAAAACAAACAAGGTTTGAGTCTCTACGATTGAAATTGTAAATACTCCAGTAAGTATTTAGCACAATGTCTGGACCGAAGAACTCAGACCGGATTAAAACACAATGGAACCTTGATTTAGATTAGACTGTATCTAAAATTAGATACCAAGGGCCTGACTTCTTTATTCTTTATTAGCACTCATATTTTTTTTTTTTATAATAACTATCGTGAGACATACGAAATTAACGATAAATCGCGGATTTGTCACGTGAATATACTGGGAAAAGCTCTACTAGTTCCGAAACACAGAGGGGTTCTTCCTCATGAGCAGCGTGCGCGGTCGCGGCGATGTCGCCTACTGCGCCAGTAGGCTGCGCGACATCGTCGCGACCTGAGTAACCCGCGATTTTTAGTTAACTCATCTTTTTTGTTACTAAAAGGAGAAAAGTACTTTATTAATCTTTATTTTATATGTAGGGCTCTTTTCCTAAGAGCCGTCAGCCCTATTATAGAATACAAAATTCAGTACAAACTAAAATAAAGAAGCTAAACCGTTTATTTAAACAGGTTATTTTTGACTTTTTTTGAAGGGTGGTAAATCATCAAACGACTACTCCCGCCTGGGTGAGGCGAGAGGGAATGTCAGACTCTTACTGACTAAAAACCACCCCGTTTCTTCTCCTGCGAGAAGAAAAGAACTCTTCGAGCCGGAGCCCCGGTAACCCGTTAGGTTCTCATGACTTACAAGGACAGTACATGGGATAACATACTACACAGAACATAGAAAAAATACTATAATGCATCTAACGTATTTACGTTTTAAACTATTATATTTTATAACAATAAGAGGTCAACTATTATAACAAGACTTGTCGTGGCATTAAGCAAGCCTTCATAAATTTTTAAATACAAATATTTGCCGTTTTCATCACTTACCAAATCTATGTACCGTATTAATTACAAAGTGACAGATATTATCCGCCATATTGAATCAAATTAAAACCACGAATTAAAATGTATTTATTCACAAACGTAAATATGCAAATATGAAATAATTTGTAGGTCTGTACAGTTAAATGTTTTTGTGTAAATCAAGCACGTAATTACTACATTCAAAATACTTGTGCGGCGTATAATTTATTTCAAAAAATTTACATTTTATTAAGGAAACTGTATTTTGTGAAGTGCTCGTTTTTTTTGGAATAATTTTATAAGTGGCTGCTTTAAACTCTTTAACTACTTTCAGCTGACGAAAACTTAGGTAACATTTGAGTATTGTTGTATTTTCAAAACAATTTTGTACCTAACACTGGCAGTATAGTCGACAACACAGTTTTGGAGATTCGGTTGCTATAAAAGAAAAAAAAATGTACCTAAAAACGAAGACAGGCGATGGTAAAATACGTATTTCATTTAAAAAAAAACTAAGAATTTAAATGTTTCCTTTATGTAATAATAGACAGCTATTATTACAATAAAATAGACAGCCTCGTTGGCCGAGTGGTCGCAAGTGCGACTGCCGGGCAAGGGGACTCGGGTACGATTCCCGGGTCGGGCAAAGTATTACTGGGTTTTTAAAAATTCTCAGTAGTAGCATGGTGTCTGGAATTGTGCCCGGTATATGACAATAGGCTCACCCCCTATTACATGGGAATCATAACATAAATAATTAATAGTGGGTGTTACACTGTACAGTGGCATAATATGCACCTTCATGGTTTTTAGTCTGTAAGATTCTGACATTCCCCTTCCCCTTACTCGAATGGTAGGAGTGATTGAATGATTTTTCCCTTCAAAAAAAGAGGTTGTACTCAGGTACTTCTTAATTCAAGTCCTCAACATTTACGAGTGCTAATTTCTTAGATCCTTGTACGGTAATAAGATTGAGCTTATTATTATAATGGCGTTGGCTCCGTTCAGGTATACGGAACTCATAATGTTAAAAAGAGTAGAAAAGATGTTGTTTGATTTAATTCAGGCACATTTATTTACCTTTTTGAGTAAAAAATGTGGTGTTATATCTAAAAAAACATTTTCACTGTTATTAAGTGGTCAATGTTAAAATAAAACTATACCATCTTCTTGAGTGGAGTTCATATGTATATAGCCTACTGTTATCTAAACGATGTTGTTTTGTTTTCGACAACCACGCGAACGAAGTCGCGGGCACAGCTAGTGTTAAAATAAAATGATAATTATTACTGTAAAAAATAGGTTACAAAATACTACTTTTACGTATCAATAATATATTTGAAGATAAACCGAAACAAAACCGGAGATCCACCGCCAGGCGATATAGTGGTCAAACGTCGGCCCATCAAGTATAAAAAAAAGATCAACACAGTATCTCTTAGGTCCCTTTTCACCAACGAAGCTGATCACGATTACACCTAACAAAACTGATTTAAAGCGTCTAATCGAATTTAAAGCGTTTAAACGAAGTTACAGCTTCATTTTACATTTCACCGCTACAAACAGAAACTAGTTTACACGGAACTCAGTACAGAAAACACAGAACACAGAACTTAGGTTACTTTAAACTTAGGTTACGTGTAACTGAGTTTTTACAGAGCTTGGTGAAAACGGACCTTAAAGTCTAGTTGCTATGTAAACAAGTTAAGTGACTGAACTGGGTCAAAATTCTGACTTTGAACAGCTGATCATGATCATTCTTGGATAACTTCAAGGCATGAAGCGCCTATTAATGTGTCAGTTAATATTGCTTTGAAAACTATGACAGTGGAATTTCATTAGAGATTTATGAAATGATTCGAAGTTTAAACACCTTAATAGAGTGATTGTATTATATGAGAGTTGTTTAATAATTTCATTGAATAATTGAGGAATCACCATTGACTGAGAAGACCACAGTAAAGTAATTACTGTTATTGAGCTATGAATTATGTTTCTAACCGTGAAAGCTAATAGCTAAAGACCTCCTTTATATAAGAGGGTTTGTTAGAACCTCTAAACAAGACAGGCGTTTTAGATTTTACAGATTACAAAAATTAGGTATATCAATAAGTCCCTCAATTGACTCTTTTATATGGCATAAGCCGGTAAACAAGCAGACGGATCACCTGATGGTTAGCAATCGGCGTTACAAGTGCGTTACCAGCCTTTTGGAAATTAAAAATTTGAGGATTGTTGGAGATGGATTGGGGAGATTTTGGGGGGAAGGAGTGGGTGTAATCGGGCCTCCAGTAACCTCACTCACACGAGGAAACACAACGCAAGCGTTGTTACACGTCGGTTTTCTGCTCGGCTGTGATATCACTCCGGTCGAGCTGGCCCATTCGTGCTGAAGCATGGCACCACATACGAAGTCCAGTTAATCGAACACATGTTTTTATTACAGGATTATCCTAGTGCAGGCATCTAACTTTATGAGATCAATTTTACTTATCTACTTGAAACATATTTTTGTATTTTTTTTTTATTTTATATTTATTTGGGAAAATTAACAATTATACACTATAATAATACATTATAACAAATATCAAAGTATAGAATAAATGTATAATCAACGACATTCTCCACAGAATACAAAAAAAAAGTAGTTAAAAGAAGTCGTACAATTTAGGTAGGCACACTACATACATAAATTCACAAACAAAACTGATACAGTCATAAACCATAGTTTACAATGTGTCTAAATTATAAATTTTTACATCGGTAAAAAGGAAGCGATAACATAATTAATCAAATACAACAGTTATTGAATATGCATTGTATGTTTAAATGGATACATAAAAAAAAACACCTTAAAAAATGTATCTATGAAATAATTATTGAGTCCAATCATTACCAGATTCCCGGACAAGGTTTCTGAATTTATTTTTAGACGCTGCGAACAAATCAATGTGGCTAAAATATTTATTGTACTGATCAGCGATGCGACGTAAAGGTGCCCTTAAGCCTGCATTAGTATGACATGAGCCAACGAAGAATACAGGTCTCGAGCGCACCCCACGGCTCACTATTGTTCTGGGCACTACATACCGCATTCGATTGGAAATGTATTTCGCATTTTTGAATTATGAATATATTTTTTTATTTTATTATATATGCAGAGTAAAATGTTGTGCTCTGTATTCAGCAGTAATTTAGTCTCAATTGTTATACGAATAACTAACTACAAAACTTATAAAAAAGTAATCTTCCTTCCACCCTGAAAAGCCTCCAAAAAAATTAGCATAGACCAGGAGGGTGCTTACTCATGAAACCAATCTCAATGTCAATGCAATTTCAATCCAATAATATCTCAATAATTATTCAATGTCAAAACTATACAACCCCTATCGTAGCTGTTAAAATAGCATTCAGAGTACGGAAAGCCAAACTCAATACCATTTATTTCAATTAAGTAAAATCGCGGGTTACTCACGTGATTATACTGAGAAAAGCTCTACTAGTTTTAGTATGTCTCACGATAGTTATTATAAAAACCATTTATTTCATTCAATATCGCAATACAGATGCAATAGGCGCTAGTGTTGCAACTCAAAAGAATAAAATTTCACAATACCAATGTCGATTGAACGGAATTGAATTCAATAGTAAGCCCCCAGATAACTTAGTTACATTCTAGCATTACAGAAATCTGTACTTTATTATTTTGTCCACAGAGTGTAGTATTCCGTGTGAAGCGTCACCCACAAGTCGCTGGTTTTGAGCAGTGCGTCTCCTTTGGCGCCTTCAGTTCAGAACAACAAGAAGTGGTGTATAATGTCTTCTGTCTCTGCGCCATGTACTTCTTGCCGCTGATTGTGATCACAGTCTGCTACGTGTGTATCTTCTGCGAGATACATAGAAGCAGTAAGGAGTTGGATGGTAAGTTCTGAAATATGAAACAATATAATACTAATACAATTGACTGAATTGAATTGACTGCACGGTTGGTGCGGTGGCTGTGCAACCGGCTGCCGTGCACCGTGTCGCGATTTCTATTCCCGCTCGGAACAATACTTTGTGTGATCCACAAATTGATGTTTCAGGTCTGGGTGTCATGTGTATTTGAACTTGTATGTTTGTAAACGCACCCACGACACAGGAGATAATCCTAGTTTGGGGCAACGTTTAAAAAAAAATTACCCTATTTGTAATATTGTGTTTTTTTTTAATGTTGAATATCTTTGCGTCCCTTTCAGACTAGGAAATTCGGGGCTAGTTTTGTGGGAAATTGATTGTACTATCGTTGAGGGTGCGTCGAGTTGCAAGTCACCCTGTATATATTAGGTAGAAGTTCAGACAATGTATCAATGAGATTGTAAAAAAAAAATTTAGAAGAGAAATGATGGAATTTCTTGCTCGGTCTTCTCCATTCGAAACTACACTTTGGAACGAGCGCCTAGCTTCACTGATAGACAGACGGACGGACAATTCAATTTTAGACATTTCAAAGTGCCTGACATATCACAACATAACGCCTTTTATCCCCGAAGGAGTAGGCAGAGGTGCACATTATACCACTGTACAATGTAACACCCACTTTTCACTATTTATGTTATGAGTCCCATGTAATAGGGGGTGAAAAGTGCCCGATTAAAGATGAAATAAATGCTTTGACTGTGAATACTACATGGTTAAATAACATGAAGATACCTATAAACGAAAATGAACGCGATTTTCCCTATAACAATACAAAGTTCTACAATTATAGATTTTACAGTAATACCACTAAATCTCAAATTTCAACAAACATATCGGGTTATCTTCTTAATTATTCGTTTTCGGAGAATCGCTGTTTGTTGTATGATACCCGCTGTATATGCATGCATCCCGATATAATTGGCCAGATAAATAGACAAAGGAACGAAGGTTTAATAAACCAAAATTTCCCAGAAAACCACCACGACTCAAAATTTCGCATACCCTTGTCATAATACATACATACATACATAACTTCACGCCTGTCTCCCATGTGGGTAGGCAAAGACTATAGTAGGCAAAGGCACGCCAATTACTACGATTCCTACATATGTACCTCTTTAGCATCATCAACAGTCATTTATCTTTTCATGTATTCTCGTCGGTTAAGGGTACTTATAATTTGGCCCTTCTTTAATATATCGCCAATCTGGTCACTATATGTCCGTCTTTTTTTTAAGGAAGGAAAGTTATCGAATGACTGCTCCCGCCTGGGTGAGGCGGGAGGGAGTGTCAGACTCTTACTGACTAAAAACCACCCTGTTCCTTCTAATGCACGTCGAGCCGGAGCCCCCGGTTACCCGTTAGGTTCTCCGCGACACTATATGTCCGTCTAGGGCGCCGTCTGCCGACGGCCCCATTCATATCCGCTCTATATAGTTCTTTCGTTACTCTTTCATCTATCCTTTCTACATGTCCAAACAATCGTAACATTCCCTTTTCAATCCTTGTCACTACATCATCTTTCAATCTACACATTTCTCTAATAACACAATTTTTCACTCGATCACTCAATTTTATTCCGCACATACTTCTCAGGGCTCTCATAATAATTAATAATAATCCAATTTGTGTCTTCAGGAAACAAAAGAACATTACACAATTATACGCCAGTAATTAATTTTCGAATATAACTGTCTTACAGGCAATTTTATGCTTTCATAACTTTAATTTAGAGTCGTAATTACCTACCATCTTTGGAACGTAACACATTTATGCTTTAGTACCATTTAACATAGCAAGGCGGACGCATTTATTTGGTTACAATGTTTTCCTATAAAACCATGATTCCATGTGTTTTCAACCATGGCTGTAATTTATTGTTCTCTCTTTCTTACACGTTTGTGAATATGAAGCATGTTATATTGCTGTCCTTATTACACGCTTTTATTGCTTGATTCCAATTATCTTCAGAGTTATAAGTATCCTTGTGCAGATCTTCGTCTGTTTTTTAATTTGATTTGAGAAAGTGAAGTCATTGATGTCTTGGGATGTATGGTTCCAAGTATGGTTGTCGAGCATGAAAACTTAGATTCAATCACAGTATTATTAAAAGTAGTTTCAGCATTTTTTTTTATATTTGATGGGCCGACGTTTGACCAATATCTCGCCTGGCGGTAAACGATGATGCGGTCTACGATGGAGCACGACGTCCCCTAAGCAACCTATTCAATCGAGCCTTGACATAGATATAATAAAGAAGGGCCTTGAAGACACCTGGGTTCCTTCAGGAAATACAGACTCTGGAAATACACCCTTCAGGAAATACGGACTCTGGCTAAAAATTCCACTTTTTAGCAGTACGCACAAGGAAGCTTATTTTCAATAAGACCACGAACCCTAAAATATACTCTAAATTATTTCGAAGATAATTTAAATACAACTGGCAACGGTATTGTGTTTGAAGTGCGTCGGAAGCTGTGGTTTCGAATCTCGCTCTTTTGAAACTCTTACTAAAACCATCACATACAATACACACTCATACTCGTACGAGTACGGGCTCGTACACAAAACTGCAATACGACGTCGCATTGCAAAAATGTGCGAGCTCCCTCTACGCATTGCAAGAACTTGCGAATTGATTCACATCGCGCATCAAAATTTTATCTCCCCAAAATCTTGTTTCTTTTTCCTGGATCTTCTAAGCAATAACAGAAGTGCACACGTCTTTTTACGATTCACGACCTAGTTTTCAATTTCAAATACGTTTAGTACGGTTGACGGTCGTCGAAGGAATGGTCACCCTGGGAGATGCCTTGTCGCTCGAAGTCGCATCGCAGCAATTCGCATCGTATTTTTTTACGTTGCGAATTCGCATCGCATCGCATCTCATCGCAGTTTTGTGTACGAGTCCTAAAATCGAGAGCTACAATAAATTAGCATCCTTCCTAATATTATAAATCGGAAAGTGAGTTTGTTTGTTCCGCTTTCACGCCGTAACTACTAAACCAATTGCTTTGAATTTTTGCAGACGTAAAGTTAGAAGTCCGGATTAAATATTAGGGTTTTTATCCCGGAAAAATTGGATATTCCCGAGAGAAAACAAAAGTATTGTTATAGATGGCGCTGTGTATATCGTTATATGTCACATAGGCTACTTTTTATCCTTTTGTGACGCGAGCAAAGCCGCGGGTAAAAGCTAGTTTAAAATAAAAAAAGAGTTATTCTACTTCTCTACTGACCATGACAACATAAACACACAGAAAAAACCACTATATTTTTTATCGAACACAAGTTAACCCGGCATTTTAATAACTATATAGGTCAGAGTATGTAGGTACATACACACATAAGGCTCACCAATCCAATTTATCTTGGTCTTCCTTTGTATGCTCTTTCGGCACATTCCAGTGTCAGTTTATACTGGTTAATATAGCTACAATTAACCAGATTATCATGGTCTCACTATATATGAGCTTTACGCACGACCGACGGTCAGCATATACTGGTTTTGCTTAGCTTGGTATGTAGCAGTATATAAACTAACGAAACAAGCTGTACCACTTAGCCACCACTTTATTTACCAAGTTATGCGTTTTACTAAGCTATTAACTGTTATTAATCAACATTTAGATGTTATCTATAAAAAAGAATAGCCAAAAACTTGCGTGTTACATTTTTGTAGGAAAATAATGGTGATGGCAGTTGATTGGTATTTACTTAAAGGGATAAAAGACATGTTGATTATGGAGTTGTTATGACGACTGCATACGTTAAAGAATATTAAAAAAATGTCAGCTTGCTACTTATGCAGTTATGCACACACGCAACGATGTCAAAGCTTGCAATTTTTAAACTAAAAAAAAACATATTCAACATAACATAATATAACATTACGCCTTTTACCCCCGAAGGGGTAGGCAGAGGTGCACATTATGCCACTATACAATGTTACACACATACTTCACACCCACTTTTCACTATTTATGTTATGAGTCCCATGTCATGTGTATTATTATGCCTATTGACATATACCGGGCACATTTCCAGACTCCGTGCTACTACTGAGATTTTTTTTAAAAACCCATTAGTACTTTGCCTGACCCGGGAACCGAACCCGAGACCCCTTGCCCGGCAGTCGCACTTGCGTCCACTCGGCCAACGAGGCAGTCATAGTAAAGTTGGTTAACCTATAATTGGCGACTGTATAAGCCCAATACCTATTGTTACCTTTATTATCTCTTAATACTATGTATACAGAAGCTGTTTGTATACCTATTTAAATAAATAAATATTCATTTTCAAACGAAAATACTATAAGTTTGATATTTGGGGAGAATAAATAAGAGTTTCCTAATTATTTTTTTCTTTCATAGAAAAACGCATGCACCGCAGTAGTGTAGGACACGTGCGTCTGCGCCGCTCTGACCGACGCGTGCTAGAACGAGCCCGGCGTCGGACACTGCGCATGACTGTCACTATAGTCGCCGTGTTCGCTCTCTGCTGGCTCCCTTACGCTACTATTACTATGTGGTATGTATCATGAATATTAATTTTACAAAATTTAATATTAAATTCATAAATTCTTGTTCGACAAAAATACTACGGAGACTAAAGTTATGGTGGTACCTATAGAGGTAGTGTTTTCCACCAGACTACTATATTATATCTACCACATACACAGATTTTTATTTAGACACAAAAAAAATCTTCTCTAATGTCACTCTTTAAAAAAAAACGCTAATGTCAGTAAGTATCCATAGCGACGGAATGCGACACCAACGCCATCTACGGACAACAAGCTTTTTTAAAATTAAATCTAACATTTGACAATGAGTTGATCATCGTGCATATGCAAATGTAAAAAATAAACAATAGGCGGCCTACGGTTGATAAATGTTTACATCTTGCTTAAAAACAACGAAAACTGTCAACGAAGAGGCAACGTTAAACATGCCTATTGTTTGTGAAGGATGTAAGCATTCTTCAAATGATGTACCGTTATCAGTTGTCCTTATTGTTATCATAATAATACTATGGCCACTTTCTATCATCGCATCGCTCGCCATCGGCAGGGAGTTCACGCTCACTCATTGGAACCCAAATATTCCCGTACAGTTCGGTTTCAGAGGAATTTTCTCCCACGGACCCTCCGAATGTGGAATGAACTCCCTGCCGTGGCTTTCCCAGTGGGCTACAACATGGAGTTCTTCAAGAGGGAAGTGAATAGGTTTCATAAGGTTCGGCAAGACGCACTTAATGCTCCAAGTGTTGCAGGCGTACATAGGCCACGGTAACCGCTTACCATCAGGTGGGTCGTGTGCTTTTTTGCCAGCGTCGTGGTATAAAAAATAATTGCTAATGGCCTCACTGCTAAAAGCTTTGACCAACACCTGGGTAGTCTAGCGTTAGATGGTTGGGTCAAGGGCCTGATGCAGAAAGTCCGAAAAAAAATGTCCAGAAATTCATGTCTCTGGAGCCCTGACCGCCGATAGCTCCCGTTACAAATGGGCTATTGCTTTTATATTTTTAAATGTTTTTTTTTAATGTATTAAATCAAGTATAGAAATAACAGAAAATAAATATATATTAATTCAAACTAATAATCTAAAATCAAGTTCAATGTCGATGTTCTAGATCACGTCCCATACTAAAAATATCACCGTCATGTTAGAATTTTGTCACGTTGCGTCGCTGTATTTCGGAAGCTAATGTCAATCCTATGCATTTAAATTAGCAGTACAATATGAATATGAATAAACTATATATCGAAAGTCAGCTATCTAGACTTCCAAAGACCTCATACATATAAATGTCTTGCTCTGATAAATTGGTAACCCACTTTATATGCAAATATGAGTAAACTTCTTCTTATAGAATAGACGTAGAATTTTGATATATTTTCTTAACGAAAAGTTAGTTTTAGTATTTTATAGAATTAATTAAACTTTATTCTTAGACTCAGCAAAAACTTTATTAAAAAATGCATCGAAAATGTTCTAAGGAATGTTTAATGAAGTTTTCGGCACTTTCATTTCCATACGCTTTGAAACACGCTTGAATAATGCTCAAACTGACAGACAATTCTGTTTCATCTTTATTTTTAGACGGTTCAAAGTAACTTAAAATACTTTGTCTTTTTTTTGACTGAAAGTATGACTTAGCATTAATATTGTAACATACCGGTTTTCTCCATTTAGTTTCCGTGATATGATCTAATTAATTGACAGGTAGGAGGCCGTTCAAGTATTATGTAAACACCATGGGAGGTGGGTGGTCTCTGTTTTGCTTAATTTGGATGATATGTGGGGTGGCTAGATGATGATTACGTCATCAGTAGTTATTTACTTTTTTACATGTATGGCAACCCTCATATTAAAATTATAAATTACAAGCAAAGATCGACAAAGAACTAGATATTATGGTATCTAAGAGACTATTAAAATTACAATATAAAAAAGATATAATTTAAAATATTTACGTAAGCAAAGTAAGTAAATGGGATCTTTGCTTACTTTTGCTGACAAGGGGGATGGGGGGGGGTAAATAATTGTAAAAAATCTGCTTACATAATATTTGAACAGCCCCTAAATATATGAGGCAGAAAATTAAAATTTAACGTAACATTGCCTTATGAAGTACAAGGAAGCGTTAAAAGACGGATTCCTCGATTTCAGAAGAAAAATCTGTATCATTCCTGCAGTCGATTAAAAAGCGAAATAACATGATTTTTATGGGTTAAGCCATTAAACAAGCAGGACGAATCACCTGTTATGGATGGATGGTAAGCAATCGGTGCCGCTCATGGACACCTGAAACACCAGTGTTATAAGTGCGTTACAGGCCTTTTGGGGATGATTAATTTGAGGTTTGTTGGGGATTCGGGGATTGGTGAGATGGGAATGGGGTATTTCTTTTTATTTAAAAATTACGCTAATTATAACCTTTTTTTTTTAAGGGGGGAAAATCATCGAATGACTGCTCCCGCCTGGGTGAGGCGGTGTCAGACGCTAATTATAACCTATATTCTGTCCAGGTACATGGTAGACAGAGAATCGGCAGCTCGTCTCTCGCCAAGGGTCCAAGACTTACTCTTCGTGATGGCTGTCTCCAACTCCTGCATGAATCCCCTGGTGTACGGCTCCTATACCCTGGACCTCAAGGGGCTGCTGAGGAGATTACTGAAGAAGACTTGCTGTCACTCATCAGGTGCCTCAGATACGATAGGTGAGGGAGTATGAAGGATTTGTTTTTTTAAAAAAGCCTCGTAAATCGAATAGGTATGTACATTGTTACATTTTTATTAAATACTAGCTACTTTCACGCGGCTTCACACGTTCTATTCAGCTCCTATTGGTCGGAGCATGATGTTTTATAGCCTAAAGCGATACTCGATAAATGAGCTATCCAACACAAAAATAATTATTCAAATCAGACTTGTAGTTACGGAGATTAGCGCGTTCAAACAAACATATATTGTATAAATATGCAGTTTGTTTCTTTGTGTGTTTGAACGCGCCGTTAATCTCCGTAACTACTAGTACGATTTGAATAATTCTTTTTTAAGTTCGATAGTGCATTTATTGTAGAAGGCTATGGAAATATATAAAACATCACGCTACAATTAATAGCAGCTGAGTAGAGCAGGTGATACTGCGCGGAATAGCGAGTATTATATATATTTTTTTTTTAAACGTTGCCCTACACAAAGTTGTTCCGTACGGGAATCGAACCCGCGACACGTCCCACGGCAGTAAGTTGCCCAACCACCGCGACACCGTGCATTCAATAATATATGGATATAGTTATTGTTTGTAGAGTATTATTAACAGGAAATTGCTCTATTTCCTCAATCAAAAATAAATTTTATGAGGAAGAAAATAAGATTTTTTCTATTTTGTCCTTTTTTTCTTATTTTAAGTCCATCTGCGCTTGCAGACAGAGTGAATTTCCGCGTTCTATTTCCGACTCTGGCTTGACAGATTCGATTTCCTCGTTGATCAAGTGGTTGCAAGTTTGACAGTCGATCTCGAAGTCTTAAGTTAGAACTTTAGGTTGGATTAAAGTGTTATTTTTTTTGCAACTTCGGAACATTAATTAGCTACTGGAATTATTATTAAGTGTGAAAAATGCTTCCTGTTTTCTGTTCCTCCTGTTAACTGTTTTGCGTTTTAAACAGACTGTCAATAACCACGCGGTCACCGGTGACCGCAACCTATTGTTCTTTAATTGTGTCTTTAATGACAGTACTATACTAGTATACTATATACTAGTTTAAACTAAGTAGGAAAACAAAAGCTTAACTAAACCTTCTGTCGCGGAAAACCTAACGGGTTACCGGGGCTCCGGCTCGACGTGCAGGAGAAGGAACGGGGCGGTTTTTAGTCAGTAAGAGTCTGACACTCCCTTCCGCCTCACCCAGGCGGGAGCAGTCATTCGATGATTTTCCCCACTTAAAAAAGCCAAACCTTCTGTCTCACCCTAAAAGAAAATTACAGACTATTATGTCCCTATTCAATTGAATATATTTTATATTATAACTTTTATAAACTTCTTCCAATTGTTCACAGGTATCGATGGATCAGGATCAAGTTCGATTAAGAATAGAAATGTCAATTTGGAGACGCCGCTAATGAAATCGGTAAAGGTATTTTTTTTACTACTTACTTCTTTCCGCTTTTTTAAGTACTGTGTGACTAGTGTCTAAGTCAGATTGAAAGAGATATTTCAATAATATGCGGTGCCATTGAAATTGTTTAAAATGTATTAATAAAACACAATAATGTCGTGGTGGCCCGGAGGTTTAAGACGCCCACTTCTCATGCATGAGGGTGCGGGTTCGAAACCTACCAACGACAAGTACCAATGTGACTTTTTCCGAGTCATATGTACTTTCTAAGATTATTTAGACACCACTGACAAACGATGAAGGAAAAACATCGTGAGGAAACCTGAACTTATAATTTCTAATTATAAGTTTGAAATCGCCAACCCGCATTGAGCAAGCGTGGCTAATGCTCTAACCTTCTCCGTGTGAGAAGAGGCTTTGCTCAGCAGTGGGCATTTATAGGCTGTTGATGATGATGATGATGAATAAAAAACAGGACAAGGTTTTTTTTATGAAAAAATGCGAAAGGTTTGTCATATATTTTATACTAAAACTCCAACAGACTCAGGGCCTACCAGAAGTAAAGTTAAATTCCACGTGGGTTAAAAATCAAATACATGCATTTGTAATACTTATGTACAAAAGTTTCCAAATAAAGTGAAAAAAATGTACATACATGCATGTATTAGCCTCTTTGGCTGAGTGATCGTAAGTGCGACGCTGGGATAGGGACTTGGGTTCGATTCCCGGGTCGGGCAAACCATTACTGAGTTTTCTAAAAAAATCTCAATAGTAGCACGAAGTTTATGGAATTGTATCCGGTATATGGCAATAGGCTCACCCCCTATGACATGGGACTCATAACTTAAATAGTGAAACGAAAGTGTTACATTGTACAGTGGCATTCAGTGCCGTAATGTAGACTGCACGGTTGACGCGGTGGCTGGGCAACTGGCTGCCGCGCAACGTGTCGCGGGTTCGATTCCCGCACGGAGCAACTCTTTGTGTGATCCACAGATTGTTATTCCGGGTCTGGGTGTCATGTGTATGTGATATTGTATGTTAAACGTTTGTAAAACGTACCCACGACACGAGCAACGTTCAAAAAAAACGTGCACCTCTGCCTTCCCCTTCCGGGATAAAAGGCGTGATGTTATATATGTCTTGTATTAACACTTGAACATTAAGTTAGTAGAAGCACATTATTTCCTCTCGCTTGTCTTGTCACTGACACGTGTTCGCGACATGTATGCGGAAGGTGCCACGAACTAGCGCAGTGTTTACATTACTTCAGTAATTAGCTTTGACGTGTCAAAGTAATGTGTATATGGGTAATATGTAGTTATCTACTTCCTATTTACTGATTTGAGATAAAAGGCAGCTTAGGGCTATTTGAGTCAGATGTGTCATTTTCGAAGCCGGGTTGGGTAAAGTAAAGTACCTATTATATATTCCAACAATGTCAAAAAATATGTTTTACAGTTCTCATAGGTGCTTTGTTTGTTGGTTTGTTTAGCATAGAATGACTGACTGCTGAATTGATAATTAATGTTGTTAAAGTTTGCATATAATGTATATAAAAATATATAGTTATTTTAAACTCTTAATACATATGTATACCTGCATTACCATAGGGTATTAAAACACTTTAGTAACAAAAGTTTAACAATACAGCTAAATGTTTAATTAAGTATTTTAATTCACCATCCTTACTAATATTATAAATCTGAAAGTGAGTTTGTTTGTTTGTTTGCTCCACCTTCACGCCGTAACTACTCAACCGATTGCTTTGAATTTTTGCAGAAGTAAAGTTAGAAGTCCGGATTAAATAATAGGGTACTTTTCAACCCGGAAAAAATTGATATTCCTGAGGAAAAACAAAAGTATTGGTATAGATGGCGCTTTATGCATTGGTAGGTATATGTCACATAGGCTACTTTTTATTCTTTTGTGACGCGAGCGAAGCCGCGGGTAAAAGCTAGTTAAAATATAATTTGAAAACACGTTTCGCATTAAACTATCATGTATTAGGTACTTTCTATCTAGAAACCTCATAAGTTTATGTACTAAAAACAATTTATAACACTAAAGATACGTGTAAAATTGTCTAAAAGATAAAAGTAAACCTATTTCAGAATCTACACTCCTCGATATTTTTGTTTTTTTTTTGCAAATTCTCATATCATAATATTTTAGTTAGCACAGAAATTGAACCAGAAACCTTTAGCTTTAGAGTTACACAAACTCAACAAAACGTTACCTACACCAAATTATATAATATACAAACTTTGTCAACCCGGTCTCTAGCCATAATGGATTTATTTGATTCTATTAATTTCTATTCGTTGTAATCCGATTAGTGCAAAGTATTAGATTACTTCTGTAAATCGTAACGAGTTCGCGTTCGGCGCTCTGAGTGCCAAGCACGAATAACTATCGCATATTCGTATCGTAACAGTATCAAGCGGGTTAAGCGTTCTGATTGGTTGGTTCAATTGAGCCGGCCAATCAGAGCGCCGAACGCGCTCGATACTATTACGTTACGAATGCGATAGTTATTCGTGCTTGGCACTCAGATTGGTTGGTTCATTGGCGCCGACCAATCAGAATGCCGTACGCGTACTCGTTTCGAATAATTTAAAAGTTAAACAAACTCGTACTAAGACCTCTGTACGGTAAACGAGCTGACGGATCACCTGATGGCAAGCAATCGGCGCCGCCCATGGAGACCCGAAACACGAGAGGCGTTACAAGTGCGTTACCGGCCTTTTGGGAATTAGGAGTTTGAGGATCATTGGGGATTCAGGGATTGGGGAGATTGGGGAAGGGGAGGGTAATTGGGCATCCGGTAACCTCACTCACACGACGAAACACAACGCAAACATTGTTTCACGTCGGTTTTCTGTGAGGCCGTGGTATCGCTCCGGTCGAGCCGGCCCATTCGTGCCGAAGCATGGCTCTCCCACACATGCACATTTGAAGATTTGGGAGATCCGGTAACCTCACACACACGACGAGTAAAATTTACTGACAGCTATCATTGATATCATCCTGTATTTATGAACTATAATCAACATCCTTGTTCACAGGGTAATAAAGTCCGCACTCGTCTAGGAGTGCGATTCGCAGAGACATCTCTAACAGCCGTGCCCTCTCGCCTCGAAGTGCCCAAAGTGGTGAGAGGGCCCGCCTGACATCCACCACCACGCCTCCGCTGCGCTGAACACGAGCGATGCCGGGTACTACACCAGTATTATAACGAGAAAATTGCTACTGTTTAATATAATTTAAAAAGCAGTGGTTTAAGTATGACAACATTTTAGTGTTACCGATGACTTCGTCGGAATGGGGATGATGACAGGGTATGAAAATTAAATATATAATTAGTCCGTAAGTTAGGTAATTAAAAAATATTAGACACGTATTTTTTTTTATTTTGTCGTATAATAAAACAATACTTAGATAAAACGAATCAAAATTTAGGATTGAGGCCTAAAACGTCATTTCTTAGTATAAAATGTATTAAGAAGTGACGTCACGCGACATTTTCAATCAATATATCTTCGAAACTATTCGTGTCCGTAAGAAAATAGAAAATACGTGTCTAATGTTTTTAAATAATCTACCAGACGGACATTAAAATAAAAATTTGTCGTCAACCCTATTCTAAGAAGTCGTTTAATACGTGTGGTGGGTCGTTGAACTGCTACCGATGACTTCGTAAGACTTGTAAGAAGTCGTCTGATACGAAATGTGGGTTGAAGAAGTGTGTGAAGGTTTGTTTATTCGTTCAGCAGTGATCGTTCTGCTTTAGCTTTTGGTTTAAAAATATTTTTAAATTAGTTAATTAATAAAGTGATAAAAGAACAATTTTGAGAAGAACGGCGATAATATAAAGTGTGTACTCGTATGTAATTAATAAATACTTATTGCGGCCTAAAATGATGTTTGTTACTTATGACATTACGGAATTGGAAGATAGGAAAATAATAATCTCTGTAGATATAAACAAGAATGAATCACAAAAGGTGTTGCTATGCGGTATTTTCCGAGTGGAAACTCGATTAATTCTTTTTTTTTTTGGAAATATTCTGTGAATTCCGCGAATGTTTTCTCGGACGCTTTAAATAATGCAGGAACATTAAGTTTTTTTGTTTTGTAACGTATAACCTACATTATCTGATATAGACGTAAAAAGAAGGGAATTTGATAATAGTAAAAAATGTATCATAATTACTTTCAAGGTCTCGAAATAACTACCACAAATTAGGTATTCTACCACATTAGTACCTACCTACATCGAATAGTCGACTATGAAAACATAGAAACTAATGAACATTTCTTTGCAATTTTATTAAGATCTACATATATTAACTAAGTTTTTGATCATTTTTTGAGTACGGCTTCTTTTCATTTTATTATTAAATTGTCTTCTTTTTGGTTTTCTTTTTTGATTAAGGTAATATATTTTGGTCTTTTGTCAAAGATCTTCTCTTACTCTGATCGTTCACTAGTAACTGCTACCCTAAACTTCTTTAGCTTATTTAAAATTAAAGATCAATTAAAAGAAAATGTATTATAAAAGACTGAATAACATTTGTTCTGCAAATTAATTAATTAATATTGTAATTGATGAGGTAAATTGACTCGATTTGTTAGGATTCATATTTAATTAAAATAAATGTATTGATAATATTGTAATCTTGCATTTTAATTAACTGGCAAAGGTGTGTTTTATTTCCAAATGTTATTTGAATAAATCAGTAAAATAATAATCTAAATTTATCGCAAGATATATGGAAATGTATTGGGATTTTGGGACATCATAAATTATGCAATATTAATGTATGCAATAGTAATGGCTAACTGAAAATTATGCAATCTGTTTAATAATTACTCTTTTAGTTATTTCAATTAACAAATTATTAGTTATTAGAAGGTTTGTGAATTAAGAGAAAATAGCTTTTGTACCTTTAAAATATTTTAAATGTATGGGCTTTTATAAATAAATTAGAGGACTTTACATACAGGCGACTTATAACTCGACGTATTCCTCTCGGGAGGTGATAATACAATTAATTTCCTACAAAATTAGCCCTGAGGTCTCTGGTCCGAAAGTGGCTAGTTTCTGAGATATTCAACATTTATGATTTTGTTAAAAAAATCCCGAGCTAACTACAAAAACCTGTCGCGGAGAACCTAACGGGTAACCGGGGCTCCGGCTCGACGTGCAGGAGAAGGAACGGGGTGGTTTTTAGTTAGTAAGAGTCTGACACTCCCTACCGCCTCATCAAGGCGGGAGCAGTCATTCGATGATTTTCCCCCCTTAAAAAAAACTACAAAAACATCAATAAATAAAAAAGACTAGTGATTTAAGTGAATTTAGTTTTTATTTGTCGTCAATTTCAATACATTAATAAATATTATTAATACTAATACTGGCAGAAATATTATTCGTTTTAAAATAGAGTAAATTAGTATCAATTTTTTGTTGTATCGATAGGAATACGTCGTTACAAGTCACCCAGTACATTATTTTGAAAGATACTGTAGATACAAAAAGTTGTGAATACCGTTGGCTTGTTTCATTATCAAAGAAAATTGGAAAAAGTCCTCAATATCAAAGAGTTTTTTTTTATTTTTTTTTACCTAATAAAACTTTACCTTACCATGAGGTAAGGTAAAGTTTTACAGTCATGAGACTGTGATGATAAGAATTTTTGATGCGTTAACTTAGTGTTTCTTGTTTTTATCCCCTTATCCTATTTTTCTATATTTCTTACGTTAGTTTTAGTGGTGACTACTTTAGTTTGTATTTCATTTAGGCCTAGTTTTTTATTATTTAGTTCATATGTATATATAGATTAGTTCAGCTTTATTCTGTGTGTAATAAAACTTGTAACTGGTTCTCCTTCATAAGTGTTTTTATTAATGTTTTTCAGTTACAATACCTCTTAACACATATTTATACAAAACTGTTTTTTACTGACGAGTGTATATGTGTAAAGAAATAGTTTTCTTTGATTTTGAATTGATTATTATTGTCAAATAGTCTGTGGTTTTTTATACGACAATATTATAAGAATTTTGTGTTATAGAATTTATGGAAGAATAAAATATTAAATGTCGTTTCTTCATTTTAAAAAGCAACACATTAGTTAATTTAATATCTTATACTTATGTGTTTAAGAAGGCCGCTGTTGTACTCAAATCTTGCTGTGAAACTGAATCCATGCATGTTCAAACTGTTCAATGTTGTGCATCATTGTTATTGGATATCAAACGTAATGGAAATAAATATGTGGAATATAAAATTTATTGTTTTATTCACTACAACTTCTATTTTTATTTTATGACTGCCTCGTTGGCCAAGTTGGGATTATTATTGTATTACTAGTTGACCCGGCAAACGTTGTTTTGCCATATAAATGCCACTGTACCATGTAACACCCACTTTTCACTATTTATGTTATGGGTCCCATGTAATATAGAGGGAGCCTATTGCCATATACAGGGCACAATTCCAGACTATGTGCTGCTACTTAGAATTAAAAAAAAAATAGGAATACCGTAAGGTATAGTGATGATATAACAGATCAAGTATGAACTTTATCTCTTTAATATTAGCATAGCTAGCTGAAAGTTATATCTTAACTTTCTCTTCAGTCCTGCACAGCTTAGGTTCTCTATAGTCTTTGAATTCAGACTTCGATCATATTTTATCAGTACGTGGCTATTTACTCGAGGAGTTTGCCGCACGTTCTGATCGTGAATTCCATCGTTCAATTCAAGCTCACTTAGGAATCGATTCGGAATCGTTTTGGTATGAGCTTTACTCTATTTTGTGAATAGATATTACATACGTACGTAGTATATGTATAACTCACTGATCTTGTGGTTAGTGAACTTGACAAAATGAGTTTCAATGTGGTTTTAATACGAAAGGTACTGTTAGAGTAGGATAGTGATGCCTCATTTTTATTTTAATGTCCGTCTGGTAGATTATTTTAAATCATTAGACACGTTTTTTTTTTTTTTTACAGATACGTATACTTTCGATGATATATTGATTTGAAATGTCGCGTGACGCGTGACTATGTACATTTTATACGTAGAAATGACGTTTTAGCTCCCACTCCTAAACTTTGATTCGTTTTATCTAAGTATTGTTATATTATAGGACAAAATAAAAAATACGTGTCTAATATTTTTTCATTACCTAACTAATTAGATTTTTAGTTTCATACCCTGACACCATCCCAATTGCTCTAAAATAGCATACTACAAGGCGTTCCATTGAGCAAACATTTTTAAGGTTGGGAGAGCCATGCTTCGGCCCATCCGGGCCTAAGCTCGTCCGGAGCGATACCACGACCTAACAGAAATCCGACGTGAAGCAACGCTTGCGTTGTGTTTCGTCGTGTGAGTGAGGTTACGGAGGCCCAATTACCCCAGTCTCTCCAATTCCCCGGGTCCTCCACAACCCTCAAGTTCCTAATTCCCAAAAGGCCGGCAACGTACTTATAACGCCGCTGGTGTATCAGGTATCCGCCGGCGCCGATTGCTTACCATCAGGTGATCCATCAACTTGTTTACCGGCTTTTTCTTTAAAAAAATCTGTGTAATAAATTTTGGACTCAATTGAAGCATGCTTTATTGCGTAAAATTGGTATGTGTAACAGTATCTTTAAGTGTGAGCAAGAAGTGCCCAAGTTGTACTTTACTGTACTTACTTTGAAATTGGGTGCCATAAGAAATCGAATTACATTTGTCAAACACCAGGTGAAAACGCATATAAACCAATTTATCTATCTATACGTATAAATAAAAATGAATTTCCGTTCGTTAGTTTTGCTAAAACTCGAGAACGGCTGAACCAATTTGGCTAATTTCGGCCTTGAAAAATTCGTGGAAGTCCAGGGAAGGTTTAAAAGGTAAGGAAAAAATTAGGCGGTTCGAAGTTTGCCGGGTGAACTGATTATTATTATAAAGAAAACATTTATAATAGGTACACGTTTTCCCTCCAGTTGGAATTTATCACCTTCTATCAAGTTCACTCTGGCACTAGGATTCTTAAAAACTTATTCGACGATTTCCTTCATGTGAAATTTTTAGAAAACTAACTTAAGTACTTTCGTATTTGCACTGTTGGCGAAGTAGCACACGTCTATTAAAGTCTAGATTTTATACGTCG